TTACGATGACAATGAAAAGTTGGTTTCCATAACAATGTATAATGCGCAAAGTAAGATCAGAGTAAGCAGATCGCCGAGTAGCGACAGAAACCGTCGGCTCTTTTGATGCGGTGGGACCAAATTTTCTTTCTCTCTCTTTTGACGTGTTTGACAGATAGACTACGTATTTAACTGCTCAACTTATGAAGTGGTCCTATAAACATGGTATACACTGCTCATAATTTGAAGTGGAATTAATTATAAAGTTTTATACATATTTTTTTTGTTTTGTTTTATCCTTATTTCTAAATTTGAATGTATAAAATATCTTACAGCTAATAAATAATTTAAAAAATGATTCGTTGCCTGAGGCATACTTGAAATAAAGTATATAGAGATATTTGATAAATGGCAACAGTGGCAACTTCGCTTCTTCATATGACAGATAGACTACTTATTTCGCGCAGCCGCAAAGAAAACTGAAAACGGGACTGTCACTACTCGTCGGTTTACATACTCTGGTGAGATCCTCGGAAAAGACAAAACTATTAAACGTTTCATAAGTGCAATAAAGGTTTGAAAATGGCAAGTCGTGATGTTGGAGACATATCTTTTAATGCTAAACTTATGGCGTTGATTTATCCACGTAAGTATATATGATCTAGGGTCAAAAGAAACCAATGTGTGTATATCGTTTGTATACAGGTCTATGTCACTCCATTTTAACTGCCTTCCTTTCGAAATCTGTCGATTGCAGCTGTCACGGGGAAGTAACTAATGGCTGTGATATGTATATCAAAACAACACATCAAACCAATAGTTCCTTCGCCATAACTGCCCTCCTTCTCCATTAGTTCTGACGTTCAGCACCAGACTTCGTTGGCCTCTTGGTGATTGTCGACCGCTCCCAAGCGATCCAACTTGGTGACCCAACCAGGTGACACATTCAAAAACCATCACAGGGCTAGATCACCAAAGATAGACAGCTGGGCGAGGTGTTAAAATATGTGTGAAAAAAATACTGGAAACAAATTTAAAACTGCCAAAGTTATGTTATAACAAAATTATAATCTACAAAATTTTTATTAACTATGTAATACTAAATTTAAATTGTAGTAATAGAAGAAATACAACGAAATATATAAATATATTTACAATAATATATACAAATTATCAAAATAAAACACTAATTCACCATAATACACCAAAACACTAAACGTGTATTTCGCTAACCATGTTAGCAACACCAGTACATGCTGACATGGTTAGCATCAAATGTTTTTGTTGTATTGTACTGAATTAGTGTTTTATTTTGCTGTTCTATCACCAAAGGTTCCAAACCCCCAACTGTTGTAACAAATTGTGTTAAAAAAATGCAGATTATCCCTGTTAAACCCAATATAAGTATACAGGGTGAGTCTTGCAAATATTTTTAGGGGTGGTATACTACGGGCCCAGAAACATGTCTTAAGTTTTTTTTTCAAAAAAGTACGTAGAAAATGTTGTATTTCTCAGGAAAAAATGGATTTTTTGATAATAAAAAATAAATAGGATTTGCTATTGCTTGAGGCGTTTGAAACCTTACTGTTTTTTTCGTTTACGCAAATTTCTGTTTAAGCAAAAACTTGATGAAAATGTCCACAACATGCATGGACATTTACCGGACCTTGGAGATAAACCCTAAATATATGAGACGCCCTATACAGGGTGTCCCAGAAATAAGTGCAAGTATTTTAAGGGGTGGTAGATCTCGATAAAAGAAACATATTTTCTCTCTATCGTTTTTCAAATAAGTCCAAAATAACGGAGTTGTTTTACTTTGAAAATTTCCAAAAAAAAAAATGCTTTTTTGCTAAAATTTTGAGAACCACTGGATCTTTTCTGGATTTTCTTTCTTGCAAATTTAATCTAATACTTATGTTGCCATATTATCAAGAAATTATGTTTTTTAACTAAAAAAATCCAAAAATTTTTTCAAAAAATTTCGAATTTTCAATTTTTTTTTCGCAAAAAAATCCTCATAGGCGTGTTTCTGGGGTTGAACTATACTACCAGTTAAAATACTTGCACGTATTTCTGGGACACCCTGTATAAGCGATACCAAATAAACTTTTAGTTACGTCATCAAGAACGCGGTTATTAAATTCATTGTTGCCAACCATGGGCATATTCGGCGCCGGGCTGACTAACTGGAATTTAAATTTCTCTCTGGTGATTCAGTTGTGTAAGGAGGTAAGTTTTGGTGATGTATATAATAACTGTCTTTATATATTTATTATTAATTCGTTTTTGTTTCCTAAAATATTTTGATTAAAAGAAAATATGTAATAGTCGGCAACGCTGTGCCGGGCAAGCTTAATCACGTGACTAAAAGTTTATTTGGTCCGATAAATAAATCTTACACTATTTTAATGCACACAAACATTCAAACTTCAAGCAAGCAGCGAACAAAAAATGCAAAAAAGCAAACCTTAATAAAATAATAATAATAAAGTTACCTGATCCAAAAGGCCAAACACCGCGTCAAAACAGAGCAAACCCCAAAACAGAATCCGAAGCCTCAGGCGTGAGATAAGTCCGTACTACTGGCCGAAATACAGTGGAGACGGAGATATCTTACGCCAAAAACCGGACATAAGCAAGCAGAAAATAAAGGAGATAGTACCAAAGCCGTAGCACCATTGGAATTGGAAAGCAGATCAAAATTCAAACACTTCACACACTAAGGATAAGAATGACATTTTACTGTCAAGCTACCAACACCTCTACCCGCCAGAAGTGCAAAACTTAAACTAACTCAACTAGAGCGTTTAGCTAAAGTGTAACTTCATAGAAAGGTACTTACAAGGGGTGGGGGAGGTAATAGCTAAAGGGAGAGGGGTGAGGGTGGGTAGTACTGTCCATCGGTCAGTAACAATAGCATTGAATATTCCAGGAAGCGGCAGTGGCGTGCATATAATGTAAGTAAACCCCAGAGAAAATCTTTTTTTAGAATATTAAGTTTCATTCAGGACCTCGAAATTAGTGGTTTCAATTAGCGTAGAAGTTTGTTCCTTTAATTTCAATGTAAACATTTGTCAAAATTAGTGGTTGACATTTTCAATTAGTAGAAAAAAATATCAAACTTTTAATTTTTCCACTAATTATACATTAAAATTTGCGAGAAATGTCATTTTGGCCTTTGATCAAAAGTTGATTGTTCTATAAGCTAAATATTAGGCTTTCTCTATGGATACAACCGACCAACGCAAGCTGTTGCTAGGATATTCTATTAATTTTAATTGTGTTTTTTAAACATTGTGAATGATCGTAAGTATAAAGTTTATCTGAAACCACTAATTGCGAGGTTCTGAATGAAGCTTTGACAGTAATGTCATTTTGACCTGTGATTATCAACCGCCAAGAGAAATTGTAGTTAGAAAAAAGTTTTTGCCAATTTTTGCCTACCCTGCACGCCACTGGGAAGCAGGACTTAGAAAGCAGGTATAAGCGGTTGAAAACGATGGGTAAAGTAAGTTCTTCTAAAATTGGTTGTTTTGACCAATTTGCCGAAACTCTGTGGTAAAGGAAGACTGTAATATCGGTAAATTGCTTTATGACACATAATATAACTGAACTTTTATTGGTTTTTCATTTGAGTGAAATTATTCAAATAAGTTTGTAACTTAAATTATATTCTGGGGTTTTCGCCACTATATGAAAATTTACAAATTAAAATAGAAACATAATAATAATAATATCGATATAATTACAGAAAAAAAAGCGGCTTTTTTAGTCCAATCTGAATAAATAAATGTATTGCTCAGGCATCTGTAGAGGTTAGTAATGTATGGCCATCACTTAATTTTAATAAACAAAATATAAGCAAAAATCGAAAACAAACTAAAAATAAAAAAGTTTGGAAGTCATAATAATTGTTTTCAGATAGTAATACTTTTAATACAAGACTGTGAGGATACGTGTCTTTATTCCCTCATTAGAGGATATTCATTAAATGTCTTATTAGTAAAATACAGCTGACAAATTGTATCCATTGAATCAACGCAGTGATGTTTACAAAATATAACCATTTTATTTTGTAGATTTTTGCAGTGCAAGTGGCGAAATACCCATAGGACTTTTTTGAAGAAATGAATCAGCCACAGAGGTAGACATTTAAAAAAAAATTAAAAAATAAGAAAGATAAATATATAAATGTATGTTTTCTATGGATTAGAATAAAGAAATATGAAATAAATAATATAGGATTTACTATAATGGTCCCATAATTGTTTTATAGCAAAAACATAACTAAATTTCTATTGTGTTAAGAAAAAACAGGAATTCTGTATTCGAAATTAAGAAAAATAGAAACGTAAAATAAAAGTTTAATAGAATTACTTTAAATTGCAACTAAATTGCATTATAATGGGAAAAACAAGTGTAGAAATTTAAATATGGGTTTTATGAGGCATTATATCACAGAAAATATGTGACGATGTTACTGATTCCCACTATTTAGTGGTTTTTGGTACGCAGATTTAATTTCATATTTGTTAAAGAAAACTAAGAATAAAATAGAAAATGACAAATATCAAATTTGTAAAGAAAAATCTGTGACAACCAAAAATTTAGCAAAATTTACTATTTATTTATTAATTTGATCCTCAGAACACGTGTATTTTTATTTAATTTCAATATACACCGTGTGATCGAAAAAAAACGGCGTCAAAGACGGCTGGGGAATAAATCGTTAATAATTTTGGCGAGGTTAATCTCTATACGTCATTTACTAAAAAAAATTACCATTAAACTAAAATAAACTGACTAAAAAAGACCATTAAAAAATAAAGAGTACAGATTTAGTAACGACGTCTAGGGCTTGACCTCAGCAAAATTGTCCTCGAATGTCATTCCCTGCTATTTTTGACGGCTTTTTTAGACAGTATGGTATTTTGACTATGTGAATTGAAAAAACTCTGCAAAAATAATCAAAGAGTTACACGAACAAAGAAATTACGAAAAAAAATCCTACACGTCACATTTTAAAACAGATTTTTTATTAAAATCCATAAGGTACTCCATAGATTTGTATCGCATCAGTGAAAAAAAATCACGAAAGAAAATATATATAAATAAAACAACAATAAAATATAAGTCTGATCACGTATCATCATAATGATCTCACAAATACAAACTGGAAGAGAAAACAATGTCTCTTTTGATCAACTTGATCGCGGTGTTAAATTTATCCTCCAGATCGATATTTCCTATCGTTTTTGAGGCTTGGACCATCTGCCTGAGCAATTCTTCTAATCTGCGCATGCTTCGTACGATTGACCCTTCGAAAATCTCGGTGTTTTCGCAAAGTTCGCGAAAGGACGCGCCTTTGCACCAACTGTACACGATGTCCATGATGAAGGGTTTGTATTGGTCGACGTAGTTCTCTTCGTCGAGAGGGAGACGAGCCTCTATGCTCACCTTGGCTATCCTACGTGCCAGTTCCTATGGTGAAACGAAACCAGACAATTTTCAAAATGATGCGCGAAGAAGTACGGATTTTTTTCAAGCAAGTGAATAGCAGTTTTTAAACAGTTCTTTTAGAAACAAATTAAACTTTTAATTGCTTAAAACTGTTATAAACATGTTTGATGTATAGGTATTTTTATCAAATAAAGAAAAAGAAAAACTCTTCCTTTAAATTGTTCAATAGCTGCCCATACATCAACGGATATGAAAATTGTAAAGGTACGTTTACACGAGTCGAGTCAACTGATCAAATTACTTGAATTCATTTTGTATATGACTGTCTAAACTTGACAAATCATGTCAATTATTGATCAAACGAGTCCTCAAACTAAAACGATTTTTTTATTATTCAGTTGTTGAAAAACGTTTATGCAAAATTTATGTAGGATTAATAATAAAAATTGCTCAAGTGCGAGTCGAACTCGCGCATGAAAGGTTCCGTACCATTCATTATCTATACAACATTAGACACTATATTATTATAAACTTTTTTTCCGATTTAGCTGAAATTTTGAATGCGCGTATAAGTATTTAAAAAAAAAATGAAGAAACACATTACTAAAAATTGTATTAATGAATAATAAATATGTAAAAAGTAAAAATAAATATGTAAAAATATGTAAAAATTAAAAAAAAAACGATTAAAAAAAGTCGCCTTTACTAGGATTCGAACCTGCCTTACTACGGCTCCAACGTCATAGCAGCGTGAAGTCCTAACCCTTTAACCACGCGGCCACCGAGGACTTGAAAGATTCTATGTAAAATTCTTACTTAAAAGATAATGTTTAGTGAAAGTACTTTTTTATTTATAAACATTTATTTAATTCTGTTTTTAGTATTTGTTCTTATAGCGGCAACATAGATACATTATCTGTAAAAATTTCAACTGTTTAGCTATAACGGTTCATAAGATAGACCTTTGTGACAGACGGACGGACGGACGGACAGCGAAGTCTTAGGCATAGGCATAAAATAATAAATACAAGAAGAAGTGTCAAGTCAATGTTAAATTATGGAAACAGCGTGGCTGCCTGGGTAACTAATTTTCAGATATGGCGGCTGGGACATTTGACATGATTTGACATGACATAGACACTTCATTGACATGACAATTTCAATTTTATGAAATTTATTTCCGTTTCCGGTTTTTAATGGCGGGCTGTTCGGGAGGTTTAAATGAGGGTTAATATACTTTTTACTTTTTCTAGTAGTAAATAATACAACAAAATTACTCAAAAATATTTATTTGGAATTTAGAACAATGTAAATATGCAAATCAACACAATTAAAGAGCTATAAACCCATAAACTACTGTATCAATATCAAAATATTTAAATAACATCAGAGATGCTGTGTTAAAGTGAATTAGTAAAGTAACAATGCACTGACTTACAGAAACTTGAAGATAAATAAATGTTTTCACAGCTTCACGGGCGTAAAACTAACTGGAAGCAGGAAAAAGACAACAGAAACCCACGCAAAACCTGGAATCAAAAAAAATATGTAAAAAAACATAAATATAGGTACATAAGACTGTTATGAATTAAATCAAACAGGACTTGAATGAAAATAAAATGAATAAAAAATATGATACTTATGCATCTAATACCTCATTTGTATTTTAAAAATAATCTACATATAGCATTATTGCTATGAAAATACATAATAGGTACCTATGTGATATGTAATTACGCATTTCTGTTCATCTTGTAGATAATTAATATAGGCTGTAGGCTAATAATAGTTCAGTAATCATAATTTACCTTGTGTAACTTGCTTTCAATTGCTCAAAATAACCGATCAGTCTTTAAAGTAGAGATACGGAAAAATCCTTGGTAAAGAATATCCCAAGATCCTTGATCTAAAGCTAAAAAATATAAAAACAGTTAATTTATTATACCTATTTTTACATAAAATATGGCCCATACCTACTACACGCAGAAACGTCGATTTCATCATTTTCTTCATGTAATTAATATCATATACTTTATTAAAGTGTTAACAAGGAACTTTATATCAAAAACATCTTTTGTACTTATAAATTTCAGCCGAAATATCATAAACAAACTTCCATTCAAATCTAAAACGGCAAAATTAAAATGGCGCCCGACCTTGCCAGAGGCCTCGGAGTTGACACATGGCTGACACACAGACAAAAGAAGAGGACGCCGACGTGCATAAAATGTTCCGTAATTGAAATTGACAGAAATCATATAGAAATATTCAGATTTTTGTCTAGGACAGTCTAGAAGGCCATGCTTTCTGCCTGGGTAAGACCGCGCCAGAACTGTTTCCAATTTTCCGGTTTACTGTCACCCCCCTGGTCTTAGGTTCCCGTTTTTACCCTTTGGGCACAAATTACCTATAAGAGATGCGAAAGAAAGGGACTGCATCGGAAACCGTTCGGCAAACCCGACACGCCTATTGAGTGGTGTAAATACACCAGTCGTTTAGTCCGGAAACCCATGCTGTGTCGTATTCGCTTGCTGGAGTGACATAGTGCGTGGTTATATGTTTCTTTGTAAAAACGCGTGTAGGATTTTTGTTGAACTTTTGAACTGTTATTTCTAAGTTTTGGTAATTTGTATATCTTATTTAAAATGGGATGCAAATGTGTTTATTTATAAGGAAGAAAAAGATATTTATAGTATAAAAAATTAATTTATTTAACAAAATTTAATTAAAAATGTGACAAAATAGTTACCTTTCTATTGGTTCTATCGGACTTTTTTCGACTATATAAATCTTTATTTGTAAACTTTAATACATCAAATATTTCAATCTAATAAATCATTAAATGATGTAAATAAGAGGAAATTTCTCACATGGGTGGTCAAATTTTATAGTTTTCATTATATCAAACAGCCTCTGAGAAATGTTTTCAACTCAAAATGCCTTTAATTATGTTTGACTACATCATTAAAAAGAGTCTTCAAATACATCAATGTGATATTTGTCTAAAATTTGCAAAAGAATCCGAATCTCTGGATAACTCGAAATTATTTACCCATTTAAAAGCCTTTGATCATGAAAGTGGAAAAATTTGTTCATTTTTTTACAGGCTGGAAAAATTATTTATATTAAATTTTGATGAGTTTTGCACTGAAGAAAACATTCAGAGGCTGTTTGATATAATGAAAACTATAGAATTTGACCAACCATGTGAGAAATTTCCTCTTATTTACATCATTAAATTATTTATTAGATTGAAAATATTTTATGCATTAAAGTTTACAAACAAAGATTTATATAGCCAGAAAATTCCGATAGAACCAATAGAAAAGTAACTATTTTGTCACATCTTTAATTAAATTTTGTTAAATAAATTAATTTTTTATACTATAAATATCTTTTTTTTTCCTAATCTCCTACGAACTGATATAATATGACGAGTAATCTATTAAATTACTGTGAGATTATATGCCTCGATAACATATTATGTGCAGATTATTTTCACCCAAACAAATAATAACCCAAACTATACATTGATGCGGATTGTCTATGAACTCTTTCTGAAGGTCACAGAAACCTGAACGCGGAATTCGGTGTTCTTTCGCATCTGTTATAGTTAATTTGTGCTTTGGGTACGAAACCCTAAAAATGAATCAAAAATTCTATGAAAATTTTAATGTAAATTTTGAATTTAAAATCCATTTATGGGCCAACGTGCTTTTAAAAATCTTTCTAATGAATATCATCGTCAATTCTAAGGCAACTTGACGCCAGTTTTCTGTAATCATAAAGTATTATTATAACCTGGCAGCACTATAAACTTAATTAGCTTTAAATATTCCTTAAGCTAATAAAATGGCACTTAATACCCTATAGCACCCTATTAGTTTAATATTTACCAGGTAATAAACGGTCCCTTTTAAACCCCAGAAATTCCAAGAAAACTTCAAGCTTATTAATATTCGTTTTGCAAAAACCCGTCAGTCCAAGTGCAACATTTTACGACCCATCGTTTCTCTCCTTAATCCGCACTACAGGTAAAGTACACTTTCCCCCCCGCAGTTATTGTTTACACAACTTTAAGGCGGGAAGGCATTAAGCCCCATCTACCAGGGTTGCCAACTCTCGAAGATGAATATTTACTAGATTTATATATTAAAAACCGCTAAAATAAGATATTGGTTTTTTATATAACTTTACCTAACACGCAAAACTGACAGGTAAAACGTTATGTGTAGCTGTAGCCTTATTCTGTACCTTTTTCTACATTTCCTAGTTCCTGTATCTACTCACTATTGCGACAGAGGATATCCAAGAAATGACACGAAAAACAATTTATACATAAATACGCCTGTCTTAAAAAATATAGCCAATATAAAAGTGGTCCACGAATTCCATGAAAATTACATCTAATATTTGTATTTTTTGTAAATTTTTTAAGCATATTCGCTTTTCTGTCAATTTATAAAAAAATAAACAATGTTTCTACTAAGTACTAACCTGCATCTGTCTTAAGGGGCCCGACAGCTCGTCTGTCAATTTAGGAGTCTCAGCTTTTCTTTCTTCGCAAACAAAGCAACTGAGAAGCGCACAAGATTGTTCAGGTGTCATTGTACCAAACAGACCATTGAACAGCATCTCAGTGATCAGCAATTCATCGGCACTGTAAAAAAAACAATGATTTATATAAAAATTCTTTAAAATTAATTTATAAAATTCAAAAGTAGTAAAATTTAAAAAAATTCAAAAAAAATTACCTTACCTGCTAAGTTCACAGGCTACTCTGCCCTTCAACTGTATGACGTCAGCATCTGTACAGTAACCCAGTCGTCTCAAAACCCTTTTTCTTGATTTTAATTCGTCCAACTGTAAGACAGATTTGGCATCTAAAAGTTTTTTCTTCGCAACTTCCAGTTCTTTCAGACAAGTGACTTTTTTCTCGTATTTTTCATACTCGGAGTCCAAAAGTTCCGTTTTGTGTAGGGGGTGTTCAAAAAGCCTGATAAAAATAACAATTTGGTATTAAAATAACCAACCCAGTGTATTTAACCCACTACATTTAAAATTATGGATTTTTATTGAAAAGGACCTCACAGATGCTTAGTTTTTTTCGCACAAAAAATACAATTAAAATTAATAGAATATCCTAGCCAACATCTTGCGATAGTCAATTAAATCCATAGAGAATGCCTAACAATTAGCTTATAAAACAATAAACTAGACTAAGACAACAAACATTTTTCTAGAGGGGATAATAATAAAAAACTAAAATGACATTACTAGCAACTTTTCAAGCATAATTAGTGGCTAAAGTTAAAAGTTTTTTAACTTTTTCTGCTAATTTTAAATTACTACCACTAATTTCGAGATTTTAAATGAAACTTATTCAAAAAAAACACACACACAAAGTAGTTCAAATGACCCATCACCTAAAACCCATTAAAACTTACTTTTTCTCTAAAATCTCGATCTTTCTCACGATGTCCAAAAAGTCCGGCTCTTGAATCTTCATATCCTTGACCGGATTGAGCAAAGGAGGACCCTCGGGAAACCGTTTTTTCACCTCCTTGATGCCTTTGTGAACGCTCTTTCTCGAATCCCTGGATGTCAAATCGGGCGGACAGAATAGTCTTACGGAGGAGACGTGCGTTACGAATTTGGAATCGACAGATACAATTTCGACTTCTCCTTTCTAGAAAGAAAAGGAACAAGTCAAATATTTTTTTATCCATACTTAGAGACTGAAGGTACATTATAGCAATCTGTTTTCTTATTTTTATTTGACTTTGTTAGAATTTAATTTTTTTTGAGCGAGTTGTGCTTAACTGTGATCATTTTTTAAATTTATTTCTTGTTTATTTTATTATTGCTTTTATGGAAAGTGCGTTATAAAAGTGTATTGCTCTCAAACGAAAAATATTGTCCAAACACGCCCCCTATTCAATGAGTTCACAGAATGCCCCAGTTTACTGGGGATGTCATAAAAGAGAATTATTATAAGATACAAAATTAGGGATTTAGAAAAGGAATCACTATTATTATACTAAAAATTTCCACTAGTAAGTAACTCTACAGGGTGAGTCTTAAATAAGTGCACATATTTTTAGGGATAGTATATTTTACTAAAATGTTGTATTTTCAATTTTTTTTTGTTTTTTTTTATAATTTTCAGTTAAACATAACATCTTGATAATATATCAACATAGGCAGTAGATTAAACTTAAATTACAGTCTTCTTTAGGCCATTTGACAGTAAGCGCCATTAAAAATAAAGAGTACAGGCACAGAATATCTAGCTACGCAACAGAAGCCTCGTTACATGTATAAAATTGTAGGTAGCAAAAGGAGACAGGCTTTAAAAGTCTGTCTCCAAATCAGATATTTTGATGTGGTAGTTTCGCTACTACATAATAGAGGGCAATAAATTTAAAAGAAAACAGTTTTCTACAAACAAAATTTAAAAGAATTTTGTGCAGTGTTGCCATTGTGTAATTCATATCGTAATACTTCCTGATAAAGCCTACCTTCAAATTTGCTATATCATTTAAACATATTAAAATAGATCAGAGCTGTTTTTTTCAGTTTGCCATGTTAGTTGGAATTAAATCTTATGAGCTAAATTACAATCACTTCCTGACGTTTGATTGTATAATTGAATCCTGAATTTTCATTGTAATTCGGCGACAATATAAAAGTATTGTTCTACTATTATGATACCACTTCCTGACGTTCGATTGTGTTCATACCAAGTTCATATTGTATAATCGGGAAAAACGGCGTTAGCGATAGCTATGAAATGAATATCACTGTCATTTTATATGTAAATTTATATGGGAAATGTCATCGATCGTCCTTTTCCAGCCAACTGGACGCCGTTTTTTTCAGAAGCATATCAAGTGATACCATAATATAGTACTATATTACGATACATGGCGTTCGATTGGGCTTAAATTTGGTATACTATATCTTCAGTGACATTGTAATATCATGGTACCATGGAGCATATAAAGTGGTACCTTCTATAGTACCATATTTGATGACATAGGCCATTAGGTACATGGCGGCAATAGGGCTTAAACTTGGTATACTACGTATTTTCGGTGACATTGTAATATGATGGTACTATGATGCATATCATCTGATACCATAATATAGTACCATATTATGTACATGGCGTTCGATTGGGCTTAAATTTGGAATACTACGTATCTTCGGTGATATTGTAATATTATGGTACCATGGAGCATAATAAGAGGTACCATAATATAGTACCATATTACGATGCCATTTCCTGGCGTTCGATTGGACTTAAACTTGTTATACTACGTATCTTCGGTTACATTGTAATATGATGGTACTATGATGCATATAAAGTGGTACCTTAATATAGTACCATATTTTAATACCATTTCCTGGCGTTCGATTGAGCTCATATTTGATATATAGGTACTTGCGTATTTTTGATGACATTGCATTATTATGGTACCATGAAGCATATCAACTGGTACCATAATATAGTACTATATTACGTACATGGCGTTCGATTGGGCTTAAACTTGGGATACTACGTATTTTCGGTGACATTGTAATATGATTGAACTATAATGTATATAAAGTGGTACCTTAATATAGTACCATATTACGATACCATTTCCTGGCGTTCGATTGGGCTCAAACTTGGAATACTACGTATCTTCGGTTACATTGTAATATGATTGAACTATAATGTATATAAAGTGGTACCTTAATATAGTACCATATTACGATACCATTTCATGGCGTTCGATTGTTCTTAAATTTGGTATACTACGGATCTTCGGTGACATTGCAATATTATGGTACCTTAAAGTATATCGAGTGGTACCATAATATAGTACACTATTATGATATCATTTCCTGGAGTTCGATTGGGCCCAAATTTGGTATACTTGCGTTTCTTTATAAAGATTTGTTTAATTAATAATTTTAATGTATTTTACGAATTTTAATTTATTGTTCGATGTCGTGACAGCAACTTTTATGCCGAACTAATATATATTATTATAATTGTACCTGTGTCACTTTTTAAAATCTACCTAGGTCTATATAAATAACGTGGCAAACGGAAGAAATTTGTTATTATAGTATTTTTTAGTCAGTTAACAATTTTTGTACTGCATTTTAATAAATTATTTCCATTATTATTAAACTTATATTTCATTACTAACGTTCCAGCATTAATAAATATCACTATCAATCGCCCTGTATATTATTAATTTTAAAGGTAATTAAAGGTATTTTCTTAGTTAACATTATAAGGTATAGTGTATATTAAAAATGTATATGTTTTGTAATAATATACTTAAAACTATTTTAATAGCCAAAGGAATAATTAATATAAGTGTATCTGACAAGAAAAGAAGAATAGAAAGAAACACATACTGGGCATTATACACAATAAAAAGAATGGGATGCCAATTCAAGTCATTTTGAATCTGGCAACTGTGCATATTTAGCCGAGCTATAAGGCCGTCGACGAGCCGTCGATCCAAAACCGAAAGTTCAAAATTTCTAATTATATTCTGATTATAATATTGTCGCGCCATCTAGTATTCTATTTGTGCAATTTTAGCTCTTTCATTTCGAGTATTTTTCTGTTGCGTAGCTAGATATTCTGTGGTATAGGCCTAGAAAATGACGTCTAGAGTTTGACCTCGCCAAAATTATCATCGATTGTCATTCCCAAGCCATCTTTGACGCCGGTTTTTTTTTCGATCACATGGTACATTCCTGACCATAGTCTTTATATTCAATGGTTTAAAATTAATTACGAAAAATAATAAAATAATTAAATTAAACATTCAAAAACAAGATTTTTCTCACTACACTCACCTGACCGTCGTTGCAAGGTTTCGGTATAACGTTATCGTTCCCCTCCTCAGGCACAACATGCAACAAAACGTCCAACTGAAGCTTTGTGGTCGGTTTAGCTCGAAATTTCCCCCGATTTTTTTGAGGATCGAAAACTTGAACTTTTTTAAAGTTCACAACCGCACCCCAATCGTATTCAGCCTCCTGAGTTTTTAACTGCGAAAAAATTATATAAGAATTAATAAAAATTTAATAAAAAAATATAGTTAAGTACTTTAATTAGCCTTCCTGGCTGCATGAAAGGTATTATGTAATTAGATTTAGTGAGGTAGGTCCTAAATTGTACACCCAAGGCTTCGAGTTCTTGTCTTATGTCGTAGTAAGCTGCAACTTGGTCTTCTTGTTGGATATCGAAAGAGTTTAATTCATCTAGTTTCTCTAGGTATTCTGGAACAACAAACTTAACTTATATTTCAAGTAAAAAATATTTAAGAAACAAAAAACCCAAACAAAACGTTATGATACATTTGAACTACTGGGATACAGAATATTTTAGTTAGACAGGAACGACAGTAATCGTTGGCTCCTTTGAAGTGTGTCCCAAACTCTGCCCTTCAAGTCACATATTTGACAATTAATTTCACTTGTACAGGGTGTCCCATTTTCGTGAGTTTTACAGGGTTTCTCGTTTATGAGTAAAGGTAAAAGATGCACCTTATTTATGAAAAAAGTATAGAGTATATTAATTTTTTTTGAAAGGTCATGACAAGGCATATAAAATAAAAAGAATGTACAGTGTATCACGTTTATAAAAACATAAGTTTGCGTCATATTTCAAAAATGACACCTCCCAGCGAAAAACTAGTTACATCACTGAGTTCTACATAAACAACTCTATGGGACCCAGGTTTCAGCTTTGCGATATGTTATAAAATAACCGAGATACGAAGAGGGTCTCATATTCATTTTCAAATTCTCCTTATATTTCAGAAACTAGGACAGCTAGGACAAATCTAGTTTCATAAAAAAAGTAGGACAGTAATGTGAAAACCACAGTCTTTGTATCTCTACTCATAAACGAGAAACCCTGTAAAACACCCGAAAATGGGACACCCTGTACATAAAAAAATATGTCTAGAATTTTAAAGATTTTTTTAAATGCACCAAGAAATCAATCTTTTTATAGCTGTTTTTTATAGTACCAAAAAAATAAAATTTAAAAGAAATTCTAAACGAGGGTAATAAGGGAAGATGAGGAAAATATTAACCAGGGATACGTCTGTAAGTTTGACGTTTTTTTACGTTTAAAATACAGCTAATATAAAAAAAATAAAGAAATAAAATTTGAACTTATATAAAACAATCTTAAATATCTTGGACTTATTTGAATAACAGTAAACAGAACGTTTAAAAAAAACAAAAGAAAAAAGTTACGGTACATTTGAACTACTAAGATTACAACGTACAAAAACTTACTCTGATGGAACACAGGAATATCTGTCTGGTTCTGGAACTGATAGAACGACCGCTCCAACATATATTCTGGATTGATTTCTTCCACTCTGAGCAGATTCAGGACCATATTATAAGTTAGGTGAAAAGCAGAGTTTATCGGGTCTGGTAGACCCTTAACTATATCCCTGCCGACTTTGGGCGGTACTTTTTCGTCGGCCATTAAAATCACTATTCCTTTATCGTCCAAACCTCTTCTTCCAGCTCTTCCAGACATCTGGATGTACTCTCCTGACGTCAGCTAGAATGTACATCCAGAAAAAAATGACTTTTAGACTTGAGGAGTCTGATTTGTAATACGGTAAAGTGTGAATTTCAGTTTCAAACATAATTTGTCCCTGTATATTCTACTCACCCATCTATAGTCCCTCCCGTCAAACTTCCTGATACCGCTGAACAAGACAGTCCTTGCCGGCATGTTTAAACCCATGGCGAAGGTCTCTGTAGCAAAAAGAGCCTTGATCAGGCCTTCACCAAACAGGATCTCTATGGTTTCTTTCAAAATTGGTAAGAGACCGCCATGATGGATTCCGATGCCTCTGCGTAACAGAGGAAGTATGTTTTCGACTTGAGGCAGATGCCTGTCGTCTTCTGACAGAACGTCCATGGCATTGTTGAAGACTTCGTCTACTAATTGTTTTTCGGCAGCTAGAAAAAAAGTTTTAGTAGACAAAGCTAAATAGATGTTTCTGCCGTATCAGTTCTATTGCCGTATGTAGCTAGTAACAAGTGAGCCCAAGCCGTGATTTTGGGATTTACTCAAGGAACTATGCACTTATTTACCTAAACTTTAATCAACCAAACGAAAATTATCTAAACCTACCAGTATTGAAGTCCAATTTCGTCATCATGGTGGCGTAAGTCTCACAGTCTTTTTTGCTAAAACTGAAAACTATAACTGGAGCAAAGTTCCTTTCCATGATCATTTTAACAACTTTGAAAATATCGGTAGTGGTAGGGTCGGGTTTGCCAGCATACCCGCCTTTCCTACCCTTCTGGTCGCCCTTTGCCGCGTCGCCGCCGTTTTGCAAGACGCCCATGGCAGCGTTGTAACTGTCATCTTTAAACATTCCCTAAAAATGGGATTTTTCGTAACTTTTTTTACAGCCTGTATAGCTTTATCCACAAAAGTATATATGATCTAAAATAATAACTATTGAGAATGCCCTTACAGTTTCGTCCACAACCATATGAATCCCATTACCCCCGGCTGGGTATATGAAATGTTGCAACGGTGTAGGTCTGTAGTCCGTATAAACCACGTGACAGGGTTGCTGGTGCAAATGAGCTACCCATTCCACAAATTGTCTGGCATTTGGAATAGTGGCGGACAAGAAAACAAAATGGACGTTGTGGGGGAGTAAAATGAGAGTTTCTTCCCAAACCACGCCTCTCTCTTTGTCTCTCATATAGTGGATTTCGTCGAAAACTACCCAGCCCACTTCGCGCATTATTTCCGATCCTCTGTACAACATATTTCTCAAGATCTAAAAAGACATTTGACAGTAGTTATGAAAAAAGTGAATTTCCCGTAAAACCCATTTCTGAGTATCTTACAGCAAATTACCTCGGTGGTCATTATAAGACAAGATGCCGTGGGATTGATGGTTACATCTCCGGTGACAAGCCCTACGTCTTTGAACTCGTCGAGAAACTCACGATATTTCTGGTTGGATAACGCTTTTATAGGTGTTGTATAAATAACCCTTTGCTTATTTTTCAGTGACTTTGCTACAGCATATCTAGAAAAAAGTATTTAACATGTACCTGATACAGAGAAGGATTAAAAACAGCATTTTTTTTTCTCTTCATATCAAATATTCAATTCAATTGTGTAACTTAAAAAATTACCATAATAAACTTAAAATAGTAGCTAAATTTATCTATTACCGTCACAAAAAATACTATATTGAAAAAATCGTTAATATACAGGGTGGTCCGAACTGTATTCCGGAAAATTCGGCAGCAGATTCTGCAGATAAAAATAAGTAAAAAAACTTCGTATAAATGTATGTCCTAAAATGCTTAGTTTCGGAGATACAGGGTGTAGAAGTTTCATATTTATTTTGATTTTTTCCAAATAATTTATAAAGTAACGTCAATATTTGGATGAAAATTGGTGTTAGGGAGTTTTTTGACATGAGAAATTTGATTTTGATGTCAATATGACTCCGATTTGTAGGGTGCACAACCTACATGTGTTTTAGGGCTCGAACACACTGACGACCAGGTCGCACCGGCCAGGCCGCAGCTACCTCTAAAACCATTAAATCAAATGATATAGCGCACACTAACGTCCTGGCCGTCCGTTGGTCGTTGCGACCAGAAGACTGCACGGAAATATTATTATTTTCTGCCGCTTGTTGCCGGTTTTCTTCCAAATTAATATTTTTTCAGATGAAATCCCCCAAATTCAAGGCACAATATTTTATTTTCTATAAGATGTAGTGTTTTAGTGTAGTTTTTGCACACGTGCAGAAAATCCAAAGAAATAGTATACAGACCGGATCAAAGGTAAACTTAAATCTAATCCCTTTTTTTATCAAGGGTCGATTCTAGTAAAAACTCCAAACATTTTGATATGACATACCTACTCTATTTCTGGTTGGTATGATACATGTTATTATACCTTTGAGTTTCGATGTTAAAAAATAAAAAAAATAATATTTAAAGTTTTTCTACAACCACTTGTTTTTTTTTATTAAATTAGTTTTTTTAGTGGTATTGTAGTCATGTACAAGGAGGACAACTGAATTTTAAATATTATATTTAATTTAACGTTTTTCAAGCAGGGTTCATTAGACTATATTTCTACTAGGTACATTATTTTGAAAAAAAAAATTAAGAAAGTAACGTAAACATTCATAAAAATAGAAGTAATTACTGTTGTAGATTCTTCGTTATATTGTAAACATTGAAATAACTGGAAGCTAAACTTTCTACCTGCTTATATTTAGAGCCAGTGTCTGACGATCTTTTTTTACGATGGCCCTAATATGTTTACTTCTTAAGTCGATAAGGGCGCCATATCAGTAGAAAAAAAAACAGAATATCTCCCTTTTTGTCGGTCGCGCGTACACAATGTTTTTTGTTTGTTGTGAATAGCAACTTCGTTATTTAGTTAACTCGGATATTTTAACATTTCTGAAACAATATTTTCTAATTGGTAAAACGTAAAAAATCGTTAGATTTGACAACTCTGTTGAAACTGGTCGTTCATCTGGCTGCAGCTAAAAAACGCAATACGTCCGGCCAGCCGACGGCCAGGTCGTTGCGACCTGGTCGTCAGTGAGTTTGAGCAATGTTTGAGCCCTTAACTGTTTTGAAGAGTAATAACTTTTCGTCCGTACATGGGTAAAACCTATTGAGTGAAAAAATATACAATTCCGTGACTTTTTATGTAAAAAAAATTCTCTTGGTAAAAATCGTTAGAAGCAACCGATATTTAGAATGGAAATAGTCAATACATGTCACTTCTACACCCTATATCTCTGAAACTAAGCATTTTAGGACATACATTTATACGAACTTTTTTACTTTTTATTTTATTTGCAGAATTTGCTGTCGAAGTTTCCGAAATACAGTTCGGACGACTCTGTATAATCAAATAGATAAAAAAATAATAAATCATATAGCACAGGTATGATGACATCATAAAAACGCGCGAAATTGTTTTATTCTCAGCCATCTTTGACGCCGTTTTTTTCTCGATCAAACGGTATTATGACCTATGTATTTGTTATCTATGTTACGTGGAAAAAAATAAAACTGATTACAGTACGTCTGTCCGTTCTGTAGCTACGGGGTATCCGTGAGAGGGGAAACGATATTCTCTCGATGTTTTTCGTAAAAAATTAGACGACGCGTCCCATCAATAAAAATTCGACAAATTTGCAAGTAGCCCATAAAATGAGTGGGCGGAGCGATTTGCGGTGACGTACCGTCAATTTTTTTTTTAAAAAAATTTCAAATTTTCCAAAAAAAAAATATCGCCCAAAAAACCTCATAATCGTGTTTCTTGGGTCGAAATATTAAAAAAAATTACATTTATTTAAGATTCACCCTGTATATAATAGGAAAAATTGACCAAAACGTAAAGCAAAAAATACGCAAATTTCTTTAATGGGAAAAAACGTATTTGCTGTCCCCACTTTAGAGTATTTTTTTCTCTTTTTAATGGTATAAAAAACTTATTAACGTAAAAAATGGAGTTAGCAGGTTATCACGTTTCACTGACGATATGTAAAAATGGGCAACGCTGTGCCAGTCAAGCCTAATCACGGTACTAAAAGTCCAATTGGTATGTGTGTGAACTTTACTAGTCATTACAACAAAATATGTATAAAATTGTGTGCCGCAATCTAATTTCAAAATTAAATTACTAAAACTAATCTTTTTATTTTTTATCTCACACACCAACTTCCTATGAAATACCTAGAAAAAAATATATTTAAAACCCAAATCTGCGGTTTTATTCAAATAAACAAGTTCTTATCAAAATTTCTCAAAACACAATACCCTATAAACCAAACCATTTAAATGTACTTACTCGGCAATCACCGTTTTACCAGCTGACGTATGGGCCGATACCAGCACAGACTGATTGTTGTCCACGCATAAGATGGACTCTTTTTGAAAAGGATCCAGTGTGAAGGCATAAACCTTAGCTGGTTCTCCATTTCTGGGCTGTAAAGGTGTGTATTCTTGTCTTGGAGGGTATGCAACTTCGTGAGTGCAAGAGTCCACCGTTTCTATTGTGAGAACTTGTATTCTGTTTCTTAGTTCTTCGAAGCTAAGAAATTAATGAAGATAGAACTAAATATTTACAGACATAAGAGCTAGCAACGTTTTCGAGAAAGTACTTTAATATATCATTTGCTATGCTCTCTGGAACAGCGTGCGAGTCGTCTGGCTGCCGATAGACGTTGCGTTCACTACTGCCGCATTGAAAGAAGTTCCTATATTTTTATTTAGTCCTTTAAATTCTAGTATTTGAATATAATCGAACAAGTCTCCATAGCGCGGCGAGAAAACCTTCAGCCTATAAAGCGAGAAGTTCAGAGTTCAATACCAGCTCGGGGTAATTTTTTTTAAATTTTATTTTCGTTTATATTCTGATAGTAAAGTAATAAATAATTGTTTTTATTTAATCACCAAAATTATTTAATACTTAATATTTTATTTGAAGAGAAATTATAGCCCAAACAATACTCACTCAAAATGTGGTCCACAAAAAAAATCATCCATATCACTTCTGTATAATATGGTAAATCTATGGTTACCATTTTCAATCTCAACGTAAGAAACAGATAATACCAAGTAAATTTTAAAAATTAAAGCATAAAAATTACCATTTTATTTCAGACAAAATCGTGTATAGAACTTCTTAAAGTAGCTCTTAAAATGAAGCAAACTGTTCTTTTTTAGCAGATTCATCAAATTCTTTTTTTTTTCACAAAAAATTTACTTTTTTTTTCATTCATTCAACGTTCGTTTTTAATGATGGTATCCTATTTATTTTATGCTTTTTGCAATATTTGATACAAAATACCGTATGATCGAAAAAAAAACCGCGTCAGCGATGGCTATGAAATGAAGATGTCATTTTATATCTAAAATTATATGGGGAGTGTCATCGATCGTCATTTCCCGGCCAACTGTACGCCGTTTTTTTATCATAGGGTACAATATAATAAAAAAAAAAACGGGCATCAGTGATGGCTATGAAATGAAGATCTCTGTCATTTACAAGCCAACTGGACGCCGTTTTTTTCTCGATCATAATCATATGGTATTATTTAGAATGTTTTTGATAGATTATCACAGTGACATGAGTGATATTTGTCTGTCTTTTAAAACGAAGAATTTTAATTATTTTTTTTAAGTTTTTCTCTAAATTCCAATGGAAAACTTTTGTTAATCATTTTTTTTAAATATACAAGGGAATCCCTATGATCGTATCGACGATGCAACACACGATATATCAACATAGTATACTGTAATATTACCTTCAAAATATAAGTTGATTTATTTGCATTGCTCTCAACAGGTTAAAATGCACATTATCCCAGCAAGGCATCTTTACCGCCATTTTTTTCGCACGAGGAGCATAAAAAAATGCAAAAAGTCGCACAACACACTCACACAAGCCAGAACGAAAACCGCTTATAAAGCAGAAAGATGTTATTAACATGAACCTTGTTGAAAAGCGTGACAAAAGCAAAAAAAAAAGGTCGAAAAAAATGGACGCCTAGTCTCAAGGCAAATAAAGTCGTTCAACTGATGAAACCCTCGCATGAAAACTTACTTGATATCGTCCACATTTACGTCGTCCTGCTTGATTTTCTTGTAGGTTTTCTCGTCAACCCCTTCGACATTTCTTTTAACGCCTTTGCCTGCCTCTTCCGTAGTTCTATTCAGCGAAAAACCACCATATTAACATCGCAAATTGAGGTTAGGAAAACTTGTAACAAACCTGTCGTCGGCGTCGCAATTTTCTGAGACGGCATTTTCCTCGTCGTCGTCGTTCTGGCCGAAGCAATCGAACAGGTCGTCGATGGACTCTGCCATTGCCGTGAAAAGTTTAATTTGGCGATTAGCAAAGTCGATTTTTCACGCGGCAACGGCCAGCTTGCTTGCGCAAAACAAAAAAAGAACGTTCGTTGAACCTTCGGGAGAACTCGTCGGATCCCCTCCGGTCGGTTTTTTAACTAACCGGAACATTGTCTTTACTGCGGGAAATTTGAACTGGTTTTTTATTAATAATGGGATTTTTTGGTAATAAAACAGCAAAATAATTAAGTAAAACACTGAATTTTTATAGAATTTAAAAAGATTTATTTACAAATATACATTTAAGCGGTGTGTATAAAAAAACTGATCGTATTAGAGATAATAAAATTCGAAAATCTATATAAACATAACAAAAAAAATTACTTAATTGTTTAAACAAAGTATTGGCTTATTATATTTATTATTTTACAGATAAATAATAACTTATAATGATTGCTATAGTATTAAATTTTGATCACAATAGGTTTTAAGGCAAGAATGAATAAATAACTTGAAAAAGTTATGAAAATAAGTACAGAAAATTATTGCAGTACAGAATTTTGTACTTAAAATTCAAAACTAAGTAAAAATTATAAATTAAATCAAAAAGTACAATAAGTAAGTCAAAATTTTAAACAACGTAAATGTAGAATTTGATTGTTCTTTTGCTCCAAATCAACAGTTATACAAGGTGAACCAGTTATCCCAAAAGTTCTTCAAACTCTTTTAGGAAAACCTGATAATATGGAGCTTTATCAGAACACTATCTCACCCTGTATAATAAAAACAGTTGATTGACATTTAATTGATTTTAAGCGTATTTCATAACATGGAACAGCAAAAAAGAAATAGATTTTTTTCTTAAAATCTAGAACAAAAAACTATGTATCAAAAAATAATTTGATCTCCCGTTTTATAAAAAGTGATTCTTAAGTAATGTGGTGTATTAAGTGAAAAAAAAACTACACAATAAGTAAAATACTGTATAAGGTGAAACTAGCTAGCAACAACAAGGTTTTTTGTTGAGAATAACAACAAGAAAACAATAATTTTACCAACTTTAAGAGATTATTAATATAAAGAGTAAAAAAGAAATTACAGAAATGTCATTTTTTGAGAAGCTTGTGAAAAAAAAACGATGTCATAGTAGGTGAAGAAACAACCTTTTTGGTTTACACTGAACTATGTTTAGCGCTAAAGACCTTCAGAGTACACCATCGTAAATAATTTGTCTTATTTTGAGTGTAAACTATGGTCGAAGCTAAGTTCAAATTGTAATATTATTTCTACGCCTACCATAACAGCGTTTTATTTGTAATTTTCAGAATTTGTAAATTTTGTTAGATAAAAATGATGAATTCAGCGCAAAAACAAATTGAAGATTTATATTTTTTATTAGAAATCCATGACCATGATCGAGAAAAAAACGCCATCCAATTAGCTTAAAAATAACGATCGATTACATTACCCATATAATTTTATATGTAAAATGATAGACGATCTAAATTTCCAAGTCATCTCTGACACCGATTTTTTTTCGATCGTTTGGTATTTGCTACATCTAGAAGTTCAAAATAAAATCATTTTTAGACTCATTTGCAACCATAATAAATGACATTTCTATATTTATGTCCATTACTCTAAAGAGCCAGCACAAAAGTACAAGTACAAATTCAAGCTGTCACTGATGACAGTTTACTTAAAATTAGGAGAATCTCATTTAAAAACAATATTAAATAACCAAGGTGTCTGAGATTGTAGCCTATCACTACATAATATATGATTAAAAGTAAAATAATATCTTTCAATAAATTTCAATCACCAAAAGATATAAAGAAATGTGTGAAATTACAAACCTGTAATTTACAAATTACAAACAAAAAAAAATCAGATTACTTTCAACTGGCTCAAATTTGAGTCATCCTGTATAAAGCCGTGTACACAGCATTGCAAATCACAAAATACTTGAATTAACTTGAATTTTTCATATAAGTTACTTTGAAAGATCCAAAAACAATTGTGATTTTTTTTTAAATTCACCCCTAAGAAGGGGTGAAATAAATAAATAAAATTATGTTTTTTCGAAATTTCGGAAAAAACGGTAAGAACTAGAAAAAAAAGCTGAAATAAAAGTAGTGGAGCGTCAAATTTTACATAGAAATCATCTCTATACTTTTTTGCTCAGATCAAAATTAACCGAGATATAGTGGCTAGAATCTAGGGGATGATGGTAGAAATTTAAAAAAATTATAAGTTGCTGAAAAATTCATATATTTAACACTTCTATTCAAATTTGTTTGAAAAATTATAAATTTCAATTAATATTTTTTTAAACTCAACCCAAGAAGGGGTGAAAAATATAAATAAATTGTTTTTTTTTTCAAATTTCAGAGAAATGGTAAGGACTTTGAAACTTTTCTTTCAATAAAAGCTGTCCCCTAGTTTCTAGCCACCTTATCTCGGTTAATTTTGATTTGAGCAAAAAAAGTATAGAGATCATTTATATGTAAAATTGGACGATCTAAATCTAATTTTATTTGAACCCTTTTTTTCTAGTCCTCACTGTTTCTTCGAAATCTCGAAAAAATAATTTTATTTATTTTTTCACCCCTTCTCGGGGGTGGATTTAAAAAAAATCTTTTACAATTCGTTTTTCGATCTTTCAAGGTAACTTATATCAAAAATTCAAGTATTTGAAGGCTTCGTATTTTTCACGATTTACAATATCATGAACTCAAACCTTCCTATTCCCTTTTTTTTTTCTTTACACCAACCCTGCATCTTTACACATCCCGTAAAATATACTGTGCGAATTCGTGAGTAGATTCGCTGGTGTATCGAACTCCGATATCCTACCCTTATCCAGAACAACAACCCTGTCAGAATCCATGATTGTGTTCAACCTGTGCGCTATAGTCAGCACAGTACACTCTCTGAACTCCGTCCTGATAGTTTTCTGGATTAAATCGTCAGTTTCCAGATCGACCGCGGCCGTTGCTTCGTCCAGAATCAACACCTTGGTCTTCCTGAGCAAAGCTCTGGCAAGACAAATCAATTGTCGTTGTCCTACAGACAGATTTTCTCCGCCTTCAGTGACTTCATGATTCAATCCGGCTGGAAGGCCTTTGACGAATGATTTTAGATGGGCTTGTTCCAGGCTTCTCCACACTTCCTCGTCGCTGTGGGTGTCGAACGGGTCCAGGTTCATCCTGAGGGAGCCGGAGAAGAGGACAGCGTCCTGAGGGATGATGGTGAGACGGGAACGGAGTGTGTGGAGGCCGATGGTGGAGATGTTGACACCGTCAATCTGGATTTGGCCTTCTACGCTTTCGATGATTCTGAAAAATTTATTTTAAAAAGGTATTTTCATAGTTTGACACTTCATCGGGTAAAAAAATTTAAAAATAAAACATTACTGACTTCTAAATAGTAGAAAAAAATTATTTTAAACCATGCTAATAATTCAAAATTTTCGTAAAAAAATCACATATATTTTAAACTCAATTTATTGAGAATATAGATAAGTTATTATTTTCAGTTTTCTCACAAAATGGAGCAATATAGAATTTTTTTTTAAATCTATGATCTGTGAGGTCAACTACCTCACTACTATAAAGAAAAAAAACCTACACGTGATGCTGTATACCATGCTGGCAACTCTTACTTTTGGGTCGGTATTTACATGTGTGGAAGTAAGTCGCATAGGGATCTTATTAAGTCGGAGTGAGAGAAATGCGACGGTGTGCTGTTGCGGCGTTGCCGCATTTATCCGGTACGCCTTTCCCTAACAATAAAAGTAAAATTACGATCGCAAATCGCTTATTTTTAAAAGACTTTTTTTCGAAAAGATATCTAAGTTCAAAATATCGTTTCAGCAATCGTGTAACTTTTTTATTTATAAAGATTTTCACATACTGTCTGCGAATAAAATATAGCAGAAATATTAAGAAATATTTTGAAAAAAAAACTACAATCGTTTATTTCTAATGGATTTCGAGATATCGATTTTTGAATTCATAGTTCTAATAGCGCGACCACTGTCGAACACAAACTCAATTCCACTTGTTTTTACCAAAAGTGCAAGTGTTTCTAACTTGCACTTAAAAATTTACAAGCTATAGGGAAAATTACAACAACTCGTTAATAAATAAACAAATAAAGCATCACGAGACGTAATTAAATCGTGAACACCTTTTCTAGAATTTGAAGTATTGATTGGGTCGATCACGACGAATCTGCTATATCCCCTTCCACGTCTCTTAGCAATGTGCGCAGTTACTCGGTTTATTTCAAACGCTTGGCAACGTTTTTACTGTTCTCTCTTTGTTCAGTACATTATAAACGCATTATACTCTTCTTACATAGGAAAATCTTGACCAAAACTAACCTTTGCCAGCCCTTAGTATAAGGAAAAAATACTACATGGCTCGAGTATGAAATAGTTGGTAGGTGGATTTGGATTCCTCCTACCATCCTTGTTTACAGCATTACGCGTGATATTGCCATAGCACTCTCTTGGAGGATGGTTAAAGTTTTTGCTAGCGTTATAAGCGTATTACTTAATATGGTTATTACACTACCTGAACAATGCCAATGTCAATGTAGATTTTCCTGCTCCGGTCCTGCCAACTATACCGACTTTTTCGCTTCCCTTAACCACGAAATTGACACGTTTCAGCACCAAATCAAGCCCTGGCCTGTATCTGATAGAGAAGTCCTTGAATGCTACCGCACCTATAATATTAAACATAAGCATACATATAAAAATATCCAATATACAAAAAAAACAAAAAAAATTTTTTTTTTAAATATTTACCTGTTTCGGGCCAAGATTTAGACATAACTTCATTAGGTATCTCCCATGCTGCTTCTTGAGGTACTTCTGCGTATTCTTTGATACGTTCAACAGCCACAATGTTGGTTTCTACGTCTGATGTCATACGAACCAACCAATTCAACGTTTGAGTAATCTACCAAAAAACAAAACATCAGAGGATATATTTTAAGTTAATAAAATCACACACCTGTAGACAATAGCTGATAGACAACCCAACCAAAGCAGGCAGCTGGTCCTTACTCAAAACAGCAAACAACGCAGCAAACAGTATAATCAGATTCCCGATCATCTCCAACCTTACAGCCAACCACCTGTTCGATATTATACTAGGATAATAACAAACTTGATTCAAGTCCACCTTATGTTCTGATTCCCTGATAAACCGGTCCTGTTGATTGTACGCCCGGATCGCCTGCACGCCACTGACAGTCTCTCCAAAGTGGGAGTAAATGGGGGACCTGGATACGGATTCCAGACGTTTCAGTTGGCGTGAGGTTGCGACGTAGAATCGCTGGATGAAGTAGTAGAGGAGGGCGATGGGGACGATTACTATAATGAAAAGGGGCGTGGCAAAGCTGGTTACTACCAGTGTACCGATAACCTAAAAAAGTAATATTACGTTTAAGTAAAAGAATATAACCTGTATTGTATTCTAAGTAAAATATGACATTTCCAGAGAAATTTTTTTTTGAAGAGAAGTATAATTTGAGCTACAAGGTATGCTAAATTTGCAAAATAATTCTAATTTTGCTGACTGGAAGTTAAATTTCTCGCTGGGGATTGAAATGGTATCTCTGCTGTAAAAAATGTCAAGTTGCCACTTTTATTTATTTATTTCCTGACATTATTGTTATTCGTTTTGACAATTTAGTTTTGTATTACGAGTTTTTAATTTGAATGAATCGTATTGTGATACTTTAAACTTAAAAAGGTTTACTAGCAGACCTGGCAGTCGAACATTGTTCTTTTTAGAACTTCTTTTAGTGCGAAGTGTACAAGATAGCTTAATAGTTGTTGCAAAAAACTCATCGCAAGCATATTAAAATATTTTCTCCCTTAAGTCGTGTTAAGGAGGTGAGTTTTGTTGATGTAAACCATAACTGTTTATATATTTATAATTAATTTATTTTTGTTTCCTAAAATATTGTGATTACAAGAAAATATGTAAAAGTGGGCAACGCTGTGCCGGTCAAGCTTAATCACGTGACTAAAAGTTTATTTGGCATGATCTATAGAAGAACACTTTTTTTCCTAAATCTTTTTCACCCTGTAGCAAAAAAATACCTCTTATGGACATATTTAATTTTTTTTTCAAAAGATGATCTAAAAATCAACACTTAAAATGCTGTACCTTACTTAGAGAACCTATATATTATGTATTAAATTTAAAGGTTTTATAATTTTGTAAAAATATCTAAAAAGTACACCAAAGTACCTACTGTTAATTTAAATAAGTAAATTAATTTACTTTAAACAATTTCAAATAACAGAATATATGTATGTAGAATAAAAACGGTTTTCATTTTCTAAAAAAAGGATGAAATTGCTTTTCAAAAATATATAAAGCACTTAAAATTTTTTGTTTGGAATAGCAGTTACAACTTTGTTGCTGTTTATATTATATTCCCTCTAGCACTATCTATAAATAAGAGAGAAAATCCACCAATAACAAACATGCAAAACGTTAACAGAAACATCAGAATATAAAATTCAATATCATATAAATTTAATATTTAAAAACTTAATTTTTCTAATTACTTAACCTACATTAACGTGCACAAAATACATTAATTCATTTTACTGTATGAAATAACTTACTTTTCGGTTTTACTCATATTATGTAGTTCATGATATTCCTTCAGTTACATAGAAAGTGGTTAGGAAAACGTATAACAAACTCCTAGAGTATGCCAACCACACACATTGCTGATTACTACATTAATTACGTCATAAATATACAGTACGATCGAAAAAACAGCGCCAAGTCGACTTAGAAATGACAAATGATGACCCTCATTTGGTTGAAAATATATTATAGTACCTCTTATAGTATCTCTTACCTCATTGACTTGTCCAAGATTATGTACAGGGTCCACTAAGAATAGCTCTCGGCTGTATTTCGGAAAGTATTAGGCGTAGGGCTTAGGGAAAAAAATATTTATAACTAAAGGGGCTATGAGAAATTGCTGGAAATTATTTGGAAGTTTGTACAACGGCCGCTAGAGGGCACAACTGTTATGGAAAATAAGAAAATAGAATTTTTAGAGAATTTTGCCTAGATAATGGGTACTATAAATAATAGCTTCATAATCTTCAGTAAATTTTGGATTTTTTTGTTAGAACCATTTTCCTCTATCTGCTAAAATAAAGTGGTGGGGGAAGGTTAGATCTATCTTTATTTAAATGGTAATAACTCCGGACTGGATGATCAGAATCCAACAAACGAGGGCTCATTCAAAAGAGCGTTTCTTACTCTATATTATACCATAAAAATAATAATATTAAGATTCTGAACGTAGACGCTAGGGGGCGCTTTCTTACAATTTAACAGACATAGCGCGTTTTTTCAAAAAAAGTTAAATACAATAGTATATGTAATTTTAGCTGATAGTAAAGAGTAGTAAAAGCTTAAAAAGTCAAAGAAAACCGTATCTTGATATCTTCTTTCAAACCGGAGATATTAGCAAAATTATAATAAACTAGTTGAAGCCTGGCGCATCCGCCACGACATCATGAAAAAAATACTTCTATTTTTTTTTAATTAAATGAAAAACAAAAAATCCGGCGACGACAGTTTTTAGAAGAGCCAATTAGCTATCTTTTAGTAAAAAAAAGCAACTCTCTAGAGCAAGTCGTTACTTCAGTAGAGACGACACAGATAAACATTAGCATTTTATATATGTAGATACCAAAAAATAACCCCTTAATTACCTTATTTTTACAACACGGTATCAGTAGCCCTCTTGATTATACCCATTCTGACAAAAAAATAAGATAGAAACAGTTTGTTTATTTTAAAATCGACGAAATACCAGATGTATTAATATGTAATAATTAAGATATTAATAACAGTGAACAAGAAACGATGATTCAGTGAAGTCATGGTAGACTTTGGAAAAAAGTTGCTTTTGACGTAATAGTATAAACGTCAAATTGTTATTACATCAACATTTTTATAGTCTTAGCAGCGTTTTTATCTTTTAATTGCTTTTTCAAAATGCCTTTATGATTTGAAGTAGTTGAAGTTGTTGACATTTTTAAAAAGCAATCAAAAGATAAAAGACTATCAAAATGTTGATCTAATAATAATTTGATGTTTATACTATTACGTCGAAAGCATTTTTTTCCAAAGCCTATCATGACTTCACTGAATCATCGTTTCTTGTTCACTGTTATTGATATCTTAATTATTAGATAATAATAATACATCTGGTATTATGGTTTTTGGTATTTCGTCAATTTTAAAATAAACTAACTGTTTCTATCTTATTTTTTTGTTAGAATGGGCATAATCAAGAGGGCCACTGATACCGTGTTGTAAAAATTACGTAATTACGGGCTTATTTTTTGCTATTTATTATAATTTTGCTAATATCTTCGGTTTGAAAGAAGATATCAAGATGCGGTTCTCGCTGACTTTTTAAGCTTTTACTACTCTTTACTATCAGCTAAAATTACATATACTATCGTATTTAATTTTTTTGAAAAAACGCGCTATGTTTGTTAAATTGTAAGAAATCGCCCCCTAGCGTCTACGTTCAAAATCTTAATATTATTATTTTTATGGTATGTATAATATAGAGTAAGAAACGCTCTTTTAAACGAGCCCTCGTTTGTTGGATTCTGATCATCCAGTCCGGGGTTATTAACATTTAAATAAAGATAGATCTAACCTTCCCCCACCACTTTATTTTAGCAGATAGAGGAAAATGGTTCCAACAAAAAAAATCCAAAATTTACTGAAGGTTATGAAGCTATTATTTATAGTACCCATTATCTAGGCAAAATTCTGTAAAAATTCTATTTTCTTATTTTATTTTATTCCATAATAGTTGCGCCCTCTAGCGGCCGTTTTACAAACTTGAAAGTAATTTCCAGCAATTTCTCATAGCCCCTTTAGTTATAAATATTTTTTTCCGTAGGCCCTACGGCTAATACTTTCCGAGATACAGCCGAGAGCTATTCTTAGTGGGACACCCTGTACAAACCAATAAAGTACAAATTTCTGTTTTTTTTTCAAATATAAATTCTTAAAACACTCTAGGAATCAATAACACCTTTCCGTAAACACTTACCCAAAATAACAAACTAAGTCAAAATACCTCAAATACACAATATATGCTATCGACGATTAGCCAGGGTAAGGTATCGTCCACCACCTCGACATCTTTGGAAAACCTGGACAGTATTCTTCCTGAAGGAGTGGTGTCAAAGAATACCAAAGGCAAACGCATGACGTTCTGCAACATATACTTATGCACGATGATGGCGGCCTTCAGACAGCCCAGGTCTGGGATCAGCTGCGCGAAAAAGGACGTGAATGCTGAAAAGAATGGATAATGGAGATGTGGACTTAAGCAGAGACAGGTTAAGAACGAAGAAACCAACAAACTGTATAAAATGGAAGAAAATAGAGAAAGTATCTTTTAGTGGTTGGTTTTATGCTTTGAATAAAAAGATTAAAGAAGGAGCATATCAAAAATTTTAGATCGAAGGCTACGGGGTCCTAGAATGGCCCACTTAAACACAGATTATACAGATTATAATCTTTGTTTTTTCTTTATTGTTTTTCGTGGTTCCAATTTTCGGAATCGGGCACTAGTTAGGTGACTAGTTTGCGCACATAGCACGCCCACTTATGGCCTCTAAAATTGTGCACAGCGCCTGCCCGGCATAGTTATTAGAGAGATATCGGAAAACCGAATAGCGTCATGCAGTATTTACGCGTACCTTATCATGGTTACGATATGCCCGAGTCAATTTTTAACGCAATACCCGCTAATAACGTTACCGCCTGACGTAATTTGCGGATCAATTACACCAAGCGCTCTTTCTAAATAACCTCTGATAACGTTTAAAAATTGCTTAAATGGGCATGTGCGGGTATTTGACAACCGGAGCCGGCCGGCGAGATCTTTTATTTTAGGTTATGTTTGAATTGTTTTGAATTATTGCTTTAGTTTTATTAGGTAATTTGATATTTAAATAGCTGGGGGATTAGTTTTAATTAAGTAAATATGGCTCAAAATATGGATTCCACCTCTTCCAATACTAAAGAACCAATAAAGAGTCTTAGGTTTACAGCAGATGACGACTTAGCCCTTCTAAGAGAATTTGTTGCTTGTTGCCCTAAACCCACTGGCAGACGTTGAACAATAAAGCACTGGAAATAAGCACTTTAGCCCTTTAGTTTTAAAATACCTAGTAAACAAAACAATTTCAAAGTTTTAAATTCAAAGTTAGGTTAAGTCTAAATAGCGGACGAGACGCGATCAGAATTCTTTCCGATCCGATAACTATAAATGAAGAGAGTTAATACCACCTCACGTAAAGGAAATAACACCTGGCCTTATTAACGTCCATGCACGCTATTCGGTTTAG